TGGTAAGATCGTTGCTACTTTAGTGTTTAGAAATAAATCTATTGTAGAAGATATTTACGTCATTGAGCAACAACCTACTCCACTTTTAAGTAGAAATGCAATGTTGAAATTAAACCTAATTCAGTTCAACATAGATTCTATTTTCTCTAACCAAATATTTTCTCAGTTTTCTGATGTTTTTGGTTCTATTGGTGAAATGAAAGGGGAAAACTACAGAATTGCACTAACACAAAATGCTCGTCCCTTTGCTGTGGCAGCCCCTCGTAGAGTGTCCGCTCCATTATTGAGCAAAGTCAAAGAAGAATTGGATCGACTGCATTCTGAGGGAATAATTGAGCCAGTGGTAGAACCAACAGACTGGTGTGCACCAATTGTTGTTGTACCACGTAAGACAGGTGATAGAGTGAGGCTATGTGTTGATTATACCGAACTCAACAAAAGCATTCAGAGAGAAAGGTGGCAACTACCAACTGTAGAAGAAAGTCTAAGTAAATTAGAAGGCGGACAAATATTTTCATTACTAGACGCTACAAATGGATTTCTTCAAGTTCCTTTACATCATGAAAGTTACAAGCTTACGACTTTTATAACTCCTTTTGGGCGATTCTTTTTCAAGAGGTTACCATTCGGTATTAATTCTGGCCCAGAGGTTTACCAGAAGAGGATATACCAAGTTTTGGATGGACTGGATGGGGTAGTAAACCAAGCAGATGATATACTTGTGGTCGGTAGAACACAGGAAGAACATGACCATCGACTAGCAAATGTATTACAAAGATTGAGAGAACACAATGTTACACTTAATAAAGATAAATGTAACATTAATGTGAACAGAGTTAAATTTCTAGGACATTTGATTGAAAATGGATTGATAAAGCCTGATCCTGAGAAAGTGGAGGCCATTATGAAAATGCAAACCCCAAATAATGTTAACGAACTTCGGCAATTTCTTGGCATGGTTAATTATTTGATGAAGTTTATCCCTAACTTGGCTGAAGTTACAGCTCCATTGCGAATTTTACTTAAGAAAGGTTATCAGTGGGTTTGGTCTGACGTTCAAAAGAGTGCTTGGGATAAAATTAAATCCCTAATTTCTTCAAATCCAGTTCTGGTGTCTTACAACAAAAATCGTAAAACCAGAGTTGCAGCTGATGCCTCGTCATTTGGCCTAGGAGGGGTGATTGAACAATTTGTGGATGGAAAGTGGAAACCAATCACCTATGCATCGAGATCTTTATCACCGACAGAGATGCGTTATGCTCAGATAGAAAAGGAGGCACTGGCACTGACTTGGGCATGTGAGAGATTTTCACAGTATGTTTTAGGAACCGAGTTTGAACTTATGACTGACCATAAACCTTTAGTTCAGGTGCTTGGAAGTAAACAAATCGCTAGTTTATCGGCAAGACTTCAGCGGTTAAGAATGAGAATGGCTTGTTTTAGATATAAAGTAACATATGTGAAAGGAAAGGAATTTTATGTACCAGATGTTTTGTCTAGGAACCCCATTAAGTCAAATGACGAACATGAAGACATATTGGAACAAGATTTGTTTGTTCAGAGTATTTTGGATGCTATTCCTTGTTCTGACAAAAGGCTCAAGGAAATCAAAGAAGCTCAGGATACTGATGAGGAATGCGGAAGAATTAAATCCTGGATTGTGAATAACAATTGGAATAAAAATTCGGTGTATTGGAAGTACAGGACTGATCTAAACATCAGTAAAGGATTCCTCCTTTTAGGCACAAGACTGTTTATTCCAAAATCGTTGAGAAAGGATATACTGAGTAAAATACATGAAGGTCACATGGGAATTGTCAAATGTCGAAGGCGAGTGTGTGAATCGGTGTGGTGGCCTGGCTGCTCAACAGATATTGCTACACTTGTAACAAATTGTCCAGTTTGCTTGGAGCAAAGAAGTAACAAATCAGAACCTTTACTGTTGACTGAACTACCAAAAAATCCCTGGGAGTCTTTAGGTATTGACCTTTTGAAATGTAATGCAAAATGGTATTTAGTTGTGCAAGACTACTATTCTAGATTTCTTGAACTGGTTTATGTGGATGCATTGACTACCGGAGCTGTGGTTGCTAGATTGAAAAATATATTTGCTCGACATGGAGTACCATATGTGGTAAGAGCTGATGGAGGTCCGCAGTTTACTTCTCAGGATTTTAAAAATTTTGCTGAAGAATATGGTTTCCGTATAGTGACATCAAGCCCAAGGTATCCACAATCAAACGGAGAAGCAGAAAAAGCAGTTGACATAGCGAAGCGGATTCTAACAAAATGTAGTGATCCAAATCTTGGATTGTTAGAATATAGAAATACACCCTTAGAGTCTGGTCTTTCACCTGCAGAGTTACTTTATTCACGGAAGCTCCGATCAACATTACCGTCAATAAATAACTTCAGACAGGTAACAAGGGAAAGATTGCAAAAGTTTAAAGAGAAGGATTTTTCAATCAAGGAAAGAAATAAGAGAAACTACGATGTAAGGAAAGGTGTAAGAGATCTCTCACAGCTTGATCAAAATGACAAAGTTTGGATTCCAGATTTAAAACGTTATGGACATGTTGAGAATAAATCAAACCATCCTCGGTCCTACCTGATAAATACACAGGCAGGGAAGATCAGAAGGAACAGGAGACATATAATAGCTGTGCATAGGCCTATTGAAAATGGTGAAAATAGATTTGAACACCAATACCAAGAAGACCAAGGAACTGAAACTGATGCTGGACATAATTACAATAGCAATGAAAATGACAGACCTAAAAGAAGTGTAAAACCACCTCTTAGATACAGTGATTCAGATTTTTATAAATAAACTAAAAAAAAAGAGAAAAGAGAAGATGTGCTGTTTGGTATTTTTATAATTGTTATCATATGTTGCATATTTGATGTTTGTTTTTATTGTATTGTTGTTTTGAGCTTGGAGACTTACTTTTGGGATCTTGGCTAATAAAGTATCTATGTTTAACTGTGGTGTGAGTTTTGCCTTTCACTTCAGAAGTTAGATTTAATTTCGACTCTTTGATTATTTATACAGAATATTTATTCTATCTCGTTTATTCCTTTAACACGACAATAACGTAAAAGCATGAAAAAATGAAACTTGAGTATATGATTTAAATATAAACAAAGAATGCAGACGTTTTTCCGACTAATCTTCAATATTTCAGTTTTATTATAGTATACATTTCATAGTTGACTGGCTAAAAGTAAACCAAATGCGTGTATTGATCACTGTTTTCAAATCTGTGGCACAGCTGTTTTAATTTCAAAAGATGTAAACAAATTAAACCCCATGTTGTTTTAATGGGAAAAGTTTTATTCTGTTGCGAATTTATGGTAAAAAAATAAGAAAAATGAATAGTTTTCCCTCAAAATTTACGTCAAGGCCTTTAAAATAAGACCCCTCCCATCCTTCTACGGCCATCCAGTCACTCACAATTTCTTTACAAAAATTTGACTTACGGAATTATATATATAGATAAGTATTTGCAATGTTATTTTCTGATTTTAAAATTGAATTTCTTCTTTATCATGTCATGTTTTGCAATATAACGTTCCATTACGAAATCAGTGGAAAATCCTTTTATCACAGCAATTCTTAAATTATTTCTTATTGAACTATCTTATATCTATTGTACGGGTTGGTGTCTGCCTTTTTCACCTTTTTTTGACTACATTTTATCATATTAAATACACATATCAAATATTTATGTAGAAATATCTGCTCTTATTGTGTCTAATAAAATCGTTGATTAACAATATGTAAACGTCAATACATACGTAACAGCCAATTTACAGTATCTTTGCTTTTTGGAAATGTCCCATTGCTATGTCATTTGCATTATTTGTTGCCATGAAGCTGCAAGACCATATGAACTAGGAGGCCCCTAACAGTTCAAGAATAAAAGCCACCCCTTCACTTCAAGTATTCCACTACACCTAACATTCCGTAGAGAGATTATATTGACAACGTTATGTTATTGATAAGGCTGAGACAACTAACTGACATCCCCCATGTCAAGGAATCCCAGCTTTAACAGTAACCCCACAATCAATTTCCCAAAACTATGCTAGAGGGTTCACTCATTCATTGGCACAGAAGTACGATATGAACTGACGCGACGTGACGAAGGAAAAATCAATCTTACACTGTAACGGATATACCTCCCTTTGAAGTTAGAATATGTCTTCCCAAAAATATTTTCTTTTCAAATAAAATCATATTACACTGATGAAATCACGGAAGTGTTTAACTACAAAAGATCCACCAATACGATTTTAATACTATTTAAAGGTTCTTCTAAAGGAAGAGATAGCCTACCATATAACATAGCCTACTAATAATAACTCCTATGACGTACGGTATGGGGAATATTTTATTCATTGAATGATCAACAAATTTGGCAACTAACGCAATTAATATTATTATTGTTTTTACACTTATTACTCTTTAAACTATGCTAAATGCTCAAAATATGTATACTGTATTTCACCCAATTTATCGCAGTTAACGTAAGCCTTGAAAGTAACCATCGATTTCGACGGGTTTCCCCTAGTGTTTTATGTTCTTTGTATTTATTTATTGCCATATGTTTTCCTCATTAATTCCAGTTATTGTTTTTTACTTTTGTCTTTTCTTTATTAAATTGCAAATACAGTCCTTTTTTATGCGTAATATTCTGACATTATTTCTACACTCTTAATCAACTGATGAAAAAAAAATGATGATTGAAGTAAATATGAATCTGAAAACTAGCCAATGAAAACAGATTTGGAAAACCAAGCCATGTGTATCCCCCTAAAACTAAAAAATATAATTACGTTAAACCTGAAATAATTGGTTTGAAAAAACTCTCTTTACAAAGGTATACTCAATGGTGTTAGACGTAAGCAATAGAAAGTTAAATTTATCAGTGTCTCAGCTATAATATTGTGCACTATCATGAATATAAGCTATATTTAAATAATGGATTACTGTTTAGAAAATGGCTGAATCCAAAGGATACAATCAAGTTCTCTGGCTGTATGGGGAGGATCATCAGATCACAGAAGTTGGCTTGATGAATCTTTTTATTCTTCATCTAGCTGATAATGGAGGTAAAAATAATTTTAATGAACTAGCTCAATTATTTTCATAATACAGTAGTATATATCTTGAGCTGAAAGAATCATATCCTGCTTGAAATGGAGTAAATTATGTACTGTAGTATTGGGTCGTATTTTTTTCTTTACAGCACTGGTAACGGATTAATGAGGTTCAAGGATTGAGAAGAAATGAGTAAAATTGTAATGCTTCGAACGTCAACTTATCAGCTGTTGAGACCAATTTAATTGTCAATGAGTGGTACAATGAGTGGTTGGTACAATGAGTCTTTGCATCAATATCAGAGGGAATGAGAGGTTATAATAAAAAGAAAAAAAAACATTACCTCCCTCAGAAGCTATAAGTAGTGATCTTTGTTGAGTAAACTACGATTATTTAACCAAACCATAGAGGCACAGCTAAAAATATTGTATGGGCAGTATAACTATATTAGACACAATTACAAATGAATGATAAGACCCCTGGACTATTTTGTTAAGACAAAAATAGGTTTTGGCTTACACATTTCTATGCAAAAACAACATTATCAAAGCTTGCAAATATCCAAAAACACATTTAAAACCTAGATAACACGAACATAAAAATAGTACAAATACTCAAACAATTAGATAGTGCTATCATAATACTGAATAAGTACGGCGCGTCGCAGGGTTGTTAGCAGACCATGTTTGAACTGAACTGGAGATAATTGATAAACAATCGCAAGAATACGTCTCAGCAATAATAACTGAAGAGTGCACCTCATGTTTGTTACAGAGAAGGTCCTGGTCACTCCAGAGCTGAATGGTCTGATACTCCCAGGTATCACGAGGCAGAGTGTCCTGGACCTGGCTAGAGAGTGGGGGGATGTAAGGGTGGAGGAACGAGTCATCACCATGAGTGAACTGATCAACTGGCACAACTCTCAACAAGTATGCTGACTAGCTTTTATAATGATAATTATACTTACGAGTAGGGGCAATATAAGAATATGACCCCACTTTCGGCACGTTTTCCCCATGTTATTCTTATGGCTCTTTTTTGACCACTTTTTTAAATACCCGGCTCTCGGCCTATACAGGCCCATACAAATGAGCAATACCATTGTATAACTACATTAACATTTAAAATCCACATTTTTATTCCCATGTATATTTTCAAAATCACCGTCTTGACAGTGCGAGGTTTGCACGAGAACTCGGGCGCGCTCCCGGCCGCGGGCATGCTCCTGATCCCCAGCGATGACAAACTATATGAAAAAAATGTTTGAAACAAAAATTGAGGAACATCTAATCATCTATACTTTTCCCACTGAAAGTTTTTCTCTGATAGAAAATTTTAAAAATCCTCTCTTACTTACTTTTTCATGTTTACTCAGAGTAACCTTTTATTATTTTCCTTAATAATTATCCTTAATAATCCTTAATTTTTTAGTTGGAACCAACATAGTGTACCTAAATTTAACCATTTGTTGTATCTCAAGCAGTTTTTTTGAGAAATAAACATATTAAAACAATAAAGTTACACCATTAATGCATGGAGTTTGTAACCATTACCAACAATGATATTATTTTACAATACATTGACATACAAATGGAACCGTTTAATTTATTTACCAAATGGTACTCATATACAATTTTATATACACGGAATATTATTTGCGCAAAACCTGTACAAGACGAATTCGACCTCTGAAAGACTAATTTATCATTATATTAACCTCTGTAGTACATAGTTCTCAAAACAAAAAGAAGCTTTTGTCTCAACATGAGACCCCCGCCCATCCCTATTCCGTTGTCAGTCATTGTCTCAGAGTGCGTAGAAACTTCTATCAGACGAATAACGGCAGTATTAAACGATAAACCGAACCTCTTTAAGAATACCTCGTTTATACGAATGTTCCCCATACACCTTGAAATTCGTCTTATAGAGGTTCGATTGTATTTATTTGGGATACGCCCCCTGTGGTCTCCCATGTAATGCTGAAGTATAAAGTCAAGAATTACCATTTTAAAAATTAACATTGCTATAGCTTTGATAATAGATACACTTTAAAGTTGCAGGCATTCCATTATCATGGTAAAGTTACTGCCAGTATCAGATCAAAAAAGATTATTTCAATTAATTTGACTACCCAAGGTTTGGACTATCGACATAGGCTTGCAATAAAATTGAGTTATTTACTGCACTACTCTAGATTTCAATGGTACTCAAATAAAGGGGGAATTGTAGAATTTATATATATCTTTAAATGGTAGCCTTTAAAAATCCAAACATACCTTCATTGGATTAAAATAACAATAATGTAACTATTCTTTTTCTGATTGAACATGTAGCCTATTATGATGATGTTTCAGCTGTTAGAAGTATTTGGTGCAGGCACAGCATGTGTAGTTTGCCCTGTAGGACTCATTCAATACCAGAACAACACCATTCACCTCCCCACGGCTGAGCAAAAGGATCCTTTTTTCCAACGATGTTTACGAACCATCCTGGACATTCAGTACGGACGCATCCCACACGAATGGGCTAAGCCTATTGATCAGTACTGATACACACTTTATATACTAAAATTATAAGAGTTGTATGTATACATATCATTGAATAATTATTGGGCTAGTGTAACTTGGATAACAAGAAACAATTTGTTTAATAATCTAAGTTAGGTAATGAGGTTCTAGCCTGGAACTGTTGTACACATTACTTCAGGCTATAGTTCTTAGTTCTAGATGGTTGCGGCATTATCACATGGATAAAATCCATTGGCGATTGGCAGGACCTTGGGCTCCGAAGCCCCGCGCCATACCACTAGAACAGCTCGCTTCCCGATTAGCCTAACAATAGTACAAGTAGGTAATCTGTTGAAGAGTTAAGTTGGTTAATGAGTTTTGTATTGATACTTAAAATAATCATGAAACCCATGTCAAATGAATTTAATTTGTAGAAGAAAATTAATTTATTTTAAGATGTTTCGTGAAATCAGATGAACAGCTATTAGTGTAAGACTTAAGTAATTTTTTCATGCTGAATGGCATGCAATTTAACATCAGCGCATAGGAGTAGTTTCCTGGCTGAGGGTTTTATTAAATATTCACACATTTTTACAGTAGAAAAAATTATAAAGGGAACAAACTATTTACAGTGGAACCTTGATAAGAAGACCCTCAATAACAAGTCGCTCTTGATGACAAGTGTCATTTTCAAATCCTCTTAAAATTATTTTACCCCTAATTACAAACCTAAAACCTCGATAAGAAGTCAACCTTGATAACAGGTCTTATTTTACAATCCCCATGAGAGTCTTGTTATTAAGGTTCTATTAATGTAGTAAAAGAAAAGCTGCCCGAGTGAAAATGTGGTTCCATCTTAAATCAAAAAGTATGTGAAATGAATACTGACTCGGATATAACAAAATCATGTAGTCCAATACATATTGAGTTTATATTTATTTTTTGTAAGATACAATTTTCTGATAAGAATACACATTAATTGAAAAAGGTGAAAGTATTATGTATAGTTTTAATTTAACCTTTAACTTGTTTGTCTAATGATTCGTAAATTTGTAAATAAAAATATTGATATTGGTTTTATATTATTTATTTTAATAAACTATTTAACCTCCTAACAATACAGTATGTAAAATCTACAAAGAATTTAGAGTGTGATTAACAGGTGGTAATCTATGTTTATTTGTTTTATTTTATTTTCTAATGCTGCAAAACAGCACATGCAAATTACTTTATAGCATTAATCATGCAAAAAAATGTTACAATATAGAATTAAATACAACAAGGGAAAAATGTACGTCTTCTATGGTGGCAGTCATATAACAGATTCACTCAATCTTATCTTATCTTACTAATATTATAAATCTGAAAGTTTGTGAGTTTGTGTGTGTGTTTGTTGCTCAATCACGCATAGGCTAAACTACTGGACGGATTGGGCTGAAATTTGGCATGATGATAGCTTACATTCCCGATTAACATTAAAGCATATTCTTATCTCAAAAATCATTTCGGGCTCCGCCCCAGTGGCTCTGTAGTTCCGCATGTTAACCTTATGATTTTTCATATTTAAAAGGAATTAATGAATCTTAACAGCTGTTTCAATTAAACAAGTTGGTTCTGTTCTATGATGTTCAATAGCATAAAAGTTACAAGGATTGCCAACAGGGTGCAGCACTATTATTATTTTTTTATTTATGACAATAGCTAATTTCCAACCAAAAGGTGAGTGAGCGTAGCGAACGAACTTCAACCTGGAGGCGAGTTAGCGTAGCGAACGAGCTAACCTGAAGGCAAGTGAGCGCAGCGAACGAGCTCCAACCTAAAGGTGAGTGAGCGTAGCGAACGAACTTCAACCAGGACGTGAATGAGCCATGCGAATACTTATGAAGTTAAACGGGGCAAAGCCCGCGGGTACAGCTAGTATATATATAAGAATATAAAATACAGGGTGTCCAACGAGAGGTGTCTCAAATTGATTACGGAAAAAAGGATGAAATAAAAATGGACCCCAAGGAATAACGTATAAATAAACCTTTCACATCAACTTACATGTATAAAAACTACTTTTTCCAAGCGTTTTCATGTTTTCACTTTTCTAACGAATTTAGTTAAAAAGATATCAAGCCGTTTCCAGACTTTTTTGTCACCCCTGTATAGATCTAACAAGCCTATTATAATCTATATATTAATAGGCAAGCATGTTTCTTTAAAACCTTTTTTCTCAGCTCGTGTGCATAGCAGGGAAAATCTACGCATACTGTTGGAAAGCTCTCGCATACTGTTGGAAAGCTCTTTTCCTGCAGATGTCCAGGATCCATTTATAAATTAAAATAGACTAAAAAAAAGCACAACTTGCGAATAAAAAAAAAAAAACTAAGTTAACATGGGTCTTATGGGTTGCCATGCTGGTGACAACAACGAAATATAAACAGAAAATAATATAGTCGTTTTTGTGCTACATCTAGGTTGACATCTGAATCTGATGACCAAAATAACACAGCAGCTTTATAGATCTTTGAACCATAGCCCTAAAGGTAAAATTTAAAGCTAATTATACACTCGTTTAAAGTATTTAAATATTACATACCTCACCATTTCACACAATTGCTTTAGGGTGGTATTTAACATATGTATTTTTATTCACAATTCACAAGTGTTTAGGGACGGTTAGTAACTGCGACTACTCTAAATGGGCCAAGACCCTACACCCGTTCCCATTTCGTCAAGCCAGCATAGCCGTGATCGTCTAGTGGTTAGGACATTGCGTTGTGGCCGCAATAACCCAGGTTCGAATCCTGGTCACGGCACTGGTAACTTTTTGATCTCAGCAAACTATTGTCGGTTACCAAAAACTATATTTTTTATACATCTTCCTATTTATTGCGATATTCGTAATGCTACGTCAAATCATAAGTTTTAGGAATATTTTCCTACTTTCCAATTATAGAAAGTACTGTTGTAAAAGTTCTTTCTAATTGTTTCCAGATACCGTACATTAAGTAGATAATGCAGTTATAGTACAAAAATGCGTCATGTATCACTATGCGAGATGCAGTTTATGTAAAAGAGAAATAAATAACCAATAAAAATAGTATAGTGTTAGAATAAGATAATAGACATTAAAATGCTTCTTAGATAATGAGAAAAACATTATTATGGAGTGAACATTGGATTAGGAGAGTAAGATTTAAGAAAAAAAAAAGTAAAATAGCCATTTTACTCATGCTGGTTTTAAGACATTTTTGTTTCAACAACGTTATTAACACTAAAACTAGAATAAAATAAAATGTAATAATGTTGTAGGTAATGGTTGTTTTATAGATTGATTGAAGTAGTTCGCCAAGTACTCACCATAACAGCAGCACTAGCCGGCCGCTACGTGACATATAGCGCTCCTGGAGGTAATTGTCCAAACCACAACACAATACTGCATTACCGACTTCGTGGTAAAACCGGTAAAACGAATCAAGCGTTTGACAGTTTATAGATGTGGGTGTATCAAAATTACAGTATTGCAGCATTGAACACTGCATAGTTTTCGTTATTTCAACATTATCAATAAAATATCTCAACAATACAGGGTGTCCATGACCTATCTACCAACCTCAACCCTTTCGGTCACTGTGTCCCATAGATACAAAAGGCCCGCGTAGTTTGCATACCCATTGTTATCTGCTTCGAAGTTAGCATACTGTTAGTTATAATACTTTATTAGTATTTAAATTTTTTATTTATTTTGTTTGTTTTTTGGTGTTTTTATAGCACACAAAAACAATAGGCCCTACTTTATTGGTATTTTCATTTTTTATTTATTTTATTTTTGTGTGTTTTCATTGGTATTTTTGTTTTGTTTTTGGTGGTTTGCGTATTTTACTTTTGTTCATACCAAGCGTTAGTTCTTCGTTATCTCGATAGTTCCCTAATATTTTCGTTAGTTCTAAAAAAAATATAAAAAAATATAGCTGATAATCTATTCCATAATTCAGTTTTAAAAATCTTTGTACAGTACAACTAAATCTGGAGTTCTACTGGACCGATTTTATTAATTAATAATGGGTAGTTGGAAATCTTAGGTCGTGTAGATTTGCAAATGATTATGAAAGTTTGTTTTTGTTATGATTTATGGGGAAAATGAAAAAGAAACATGTTTTCCATAAGAAATACATTGAAAACGGTGTTTTTCACACTTTTTATTTGGGTGCGACTTTTAGCTGCCATTTTTTAAATAAGCATCTAGACTGCCAGTGCAACTCCTAGGATCGGTACTCGGTAGGATCGTGGATCAGATCGAAAAACCCCCCACCACCGCTCAGTGCCGATGGCGTGACGTCAACCATTACTGCAACGATACGGAACTAAGTCATGAGCCTTCGTGGTGATGTGGATAGCGTGTCGGGCTGATAATCTGGAGGTATCGGGTTCGAATCCCACCGGGAGCACTAACTTTTTGTCAACAATTTTTTTCATATCAGCAAGTTTGGTTGGTTTGGTTAGGTTATGACAGATTAATTTTATAATTAAAAGATTGTAAATATGAATTTGAGACATTTATCATTTTATTTTTAGAACAGAGCTATTTTTCGATTAGTAAACCTTCATTCGAGTTTATCATTATCAGCAAGTTTGGTTAGTTTGGTTAGGTTATGATAGTTTAATTATATTTAATTCAAATTTAATCTACAAATTATACGTTTTGACAGCGACAGTGATACAGATAACAATTTTCCACGAACAGTTAGATAAGCTATGCTGATGCGCCGGTATGATTCGGAAGCGTACGACATGGTGCGGTGGTGGGGGGTGATCCACTGATCTGATCCACGATCCTGATCTGAGTCCGATCCTCGGACTTGCACTGGCAGTCTAGACGCTAGTATTTTTTAATATTTACAAGAAGTGCATGGCATCAATTTGTAGGAAATTTTATTCTCTTTCAGAATATCACCTTCCACTTTGGTCGATTTCCTCACCATTTAAAAGTTATTTGCATTGCTAAGCAACCTCCGAATTTATAGTACAGTAATGAGAAAATATTGAGTTTGGGATATTTTTGTTAAACTTTGTACAACTAAATCTAGACTTCTACTATACCGATTTTGTTAATTATTGGGTCATTAGAAAGCATAACTCATGTAGATTTGCAAATAATTATAAAATTGTGATTTTATTAAATATTTGTGGTGAAAAAGTAAAAATTACAAAAATACATTAATAACTGCTTTTCAAGTTTCTATTTGTAGCCAGCTTTTGGCTACCTTTATTAAGTATTTTCAAGAAATGCATAGTAGTTGTTTGTAGTAAATTTTATTCTATTTCAGAATATCCCATTCACTTTGGCCGATTTCCCCTCCATTTACAAGATATTGGCAATAATCTAAGTGATTTCCAAATTTATAGTGGTGAGAAAATACTGAATTATATATATTTTTGTTAAACTTTGTACAACTAAATCTAGGCTTCTACCGGACCGACTTTGTTAATTAATGGGTCGTTGGAAAGCCTAATTTGTGCAGATTTGCTAATAATTATGAAAGTTTGATTTTATTAAATATTTGAGGTGAAAAAAATAAAAATAAAAAAATAATACATTTAAAACTCCTTTTTTCCAAGTTTATATTTCAAATTTTATATTTGTAGCTAACTTTGGGCTGTCTATATCGAGTATTTTCAAGAAATAGATTATAGTAATTTATAGAAAATTTAATTCTCTTTCAGAATATCACCTTCCACTTTGGTCGATTTCCTCACCATTTCAAAGTGATTTGCAAAAACGTTAAGCAACCTCCAAATGTATAGAGAAAATACTGAATTAAAGATGTTGTTAAGCTTTGTACAATTAAATCTAGTTTATTAATTAATATGTCATTGGATAGCCTAATTTGTGAAGATTTTCAAATAATTATGAAAGTACTGTTGAGGTTGCAAGCAAGATCGTTTGGCTATAAATCGATTATAAATACTCCATTTTTTGAACAATAATTTGTGTTGGTCGTGATTTAGCTGCGTGCTTTAATGAAATGGAAGCTGGTATTTCAATGAAGGTTGTTAGGTCAAAACAAATAGAA